AATCTTAACAAAAGGAAAGTACTCAGAAATATAAATCAGAGATATAGAAGTATAGGACATGTTCTTGAAGTTGTATTTCGAAAAAAAGAATGCACTCAAATCTTACAATGAATCAGCACTCTGAAGCAGTTCCAAAAATGTAAATGGATTATTTGCATTAATTATTAGTGTTGTTTCCGAATGCAATTTAGTTTCTGAGTCATGGGTTGGGATTTATTAGTTCCATTGTTGGTCAGAATTCAGAGAAACTAGAACAGGATCCAGAACATAAACTACAACACATTCAGAAGAAGGACAAAAAGGATGATTATAATACTAACTTAAGTACTGTAAAAATATATTATTTGTTTGTTGTATAGTTTTTGTAGCACACCCAAATCCATAGTCTCTGGGGAGCTTATTGTTGTTAGTCGCGAAGTTGTGTCTGACACATTACGACCCCATGGACAATGTTCCTCCAGGCCTTCCTGTCCTCTACCATCTCCTGGAGTCCATTTAAGCTCATGCTGACTGCTTCAGTGGCCCCATGGACAGTACCAATAAGAAAGTAATAATAATAATACAAATGTCAGGAAAAAGAGCTCATAACATAATAGAAAGCGCACACACACACACACACACACACACACACACACACACAAAGAGGAGTACCACATATGGTAGCACTTTTTAAGTAACCGAAAGCATACCACATAGAAGAAGATCAAAAGCTGCTTTCTCACATAAGGACCAGAATAATGAATATAAGTCACAGGAAGGCAGCAGATTCTATTTCATTGTTAGGAGTGGGGAAAAAGATCTCAGCAAAGCAATAACAGTCTGAGACATCCATTTGCCCAGAAAAGTGGTGGGCTTCCCTGAATCAGATTTATTCAAGCACAGACTCACAACCACCACTTGGGACACTTTGATTTGGACTCTTGCACTGAGCAGGGTTTTTAGACTTAATAGCCTAATTCACATCTTCCAAATCTGCGATTTGATTTCATGCATATTTATCATATTTAAATCCAATCTATAGCACAAATTTAATTACTACACCTATGGACATATGAATCAACAGACATGGCATGTGCACTCAAAACATCACAGGGATTAATCTATCCCATGGGTAGACACACTTCATTTATCATGTGATTGTATTTCTCACAATGCTTGGTGAGGTTAGCTAGGGGTGAAGTGACTTGATCCAGAAGTCAGGTCCAATTAAGTTGGCCATTCCCTTTCCAAATTTGAGATGTTCTCTTTCATGTTGAATTTTTCAGATAAATATCTGTCCAACCTGTGCAGTTGGATTTATGAGCTGGCAAATGGCATTTTGGGGGGCTGATTGAACTAGCATTAGATGCGAGTTTTTTGTGCAATGCTTTGCAGAATTTCTGCAGAGTCTACAGAACCACATTAGTTAAAATAATCATGATTTTTCTGTCTCTGTTGAGGGTTGAAATTAAATCATTACCAAATACAGCTAGAGCTAAACAGGCCCCTTACATGCTATGCAATCTGAGGTAGCTGTTGGCAAAAAGAAGATTGCCTTTGCTAGCTCACTTTCTTTCATAAGGTTGGAAGCATTTTAGATGTTTATTTGTTCAGGTTGCTAGGATTTTTTTTCAGCTCTTTATCAACAGAAGCCACAGCATTATAATCCTTTTCAGACCCATATTTTATCTGTGTCTCTCAAACAAAGATGGCAGGAAGACTTCCAAAACAGTGCATTTGTTTTTCTTGAGCTTTTTAAAAATCAGTTCGACAACCTGGAGATTGAAACATGCAAATAAGTGCTACATGCTAACACAGCAAGCTATCTTACTAAATCTGAACAGACCCTTTGTCTATCACAAAGGTCTTCAAACTTGGCAAGCTTAAGACTTGTGGACTTCAACTCCCAGAATTCCTGAGCTAACATGACTGGAGGAGGAATTCTGGGAGTTGAAGTCCACAAGTCTTAAAGACCCCTGGTCTATCATCTAATCCAGTTCTACTTTGGTAGCAACATTATTCTGTGGTCTTGTCCAAAGAAACATTTTGCCCATTACCTGTCACTGACTGACTTAGAGCCTTCAGCATATGCAACAGAGGTTGGACCTCTGAATATAGTTCTCTATAACAGACTATTCTTTCCTTTGTCTGTTTCAATTAGATGTCCCCAAGAATTATGGGATTGCCTGAGATCTTAAATATGCAATCAGTATATACCTCTAAAATATGACATACTTTTGATCTGAGGATCATGTTGTATACATGGGTGTAGTAGAAGAAAATATTGGACAGAATTTCCAGTCTGGAAGTGAGATTGTGGGTTCCCTTGTGCACTTATAATGGCATCTCCAATTTATCCTCTCCAAGAAGCTGATTTATTTTCCACGACATTCCATGTTATTTTTCATGTTGCTTTCATACCACTGAAAAACAGATTGTGAATTATGTCACCATAATTTGCAGCTAATCAAAATATTCTCCTTTTCTGTGAAGAGTTTGGATTTTGTCTGCAACTCTAATGGGTGAACACAGCAGCTGCTTCCAGCAATGGACATGCTCCATAACCAGACTGGGAATTGGGTGTAAATTTGTATCTTGACTGGATACCAAATACAGAAACAAGTTCTTTCAGGACATACTTGGGTTAATTTAATACTCTCAATATGTTCCATAGAATGCCAGCAAAATTCAGAAGCAATGCATTGAACTAAGTATTTTTGGCATATGATCAAATTTTGTGCTTTTTTTCATAGTATCTGCTACATTTTGGATTTACATACTACTACTCCTGTTTTCTAGTTTTAAATCATAGCACATTTCCCATACCTGACTGTTTAACTATGAATGTTTAACCATTTATACTATTTATAGATATTCTTATAGTGAAATATTGATAACAAAAAGAAAAATGAACTGTTTAACAGTAAAGAAAAGTAGAATTAGAGCATAAGATTGGGAGAAAAAATGGCTTAAATCATAGCGTTTTGCTTGGAGGGGAAAGTGCCAGAATCATACCATAGTAAGTACTAGATAAGTGGATAAAAATTTAAAAGAATCCATGCTGGATAGGTTCAGGATTTTGTTTCAAAAATTCTGCAGCTCCAAACTTTAATTGTAGGTACTCAGAGGCATGATTAACTACAACGTTATATAGTCATTATGGTTAATCATTGATAATCATGCTGCCCATGATTTTGCCCAAACTATTTTTAAGTTATTTGAATCAGAGGTGGTATTCAGTAGGTTCTGACCAGTTCTAGAGAACCGGTAGCAGAAATTTTGAATAGTTTGGAAATCCAGCAAATACCACCTCTGGCTGGAGATTTTGCAGTTTCCTTCCCTTGCCACGCCCACCAAGCCACGCCCACAGAACCAGTAGTAAAAAAAATTGAATCCCACCACTGATTTGAATCCCTACCTTTGGAAGCTTATACGTGTGAAGAATATGCAGTGCATTTTTAATCTGTTTTGCAGCTCTCAGTTTGTTATAATACATCCTCAAATCTGACTTCATGTTTTCATATACATGTGTAAACTGACACTGAATGTGTTTCAGAATATGTGCTTTAGCATACGTTTTGCCAAGCTTCTTGCATTTTTCCCATTCTTCTATTCAGTTTTTAGAGAAGCAGGAAGTGGCATGGAGAAAAGAGGAGCTTGCTGAATACCAACTAATAGTTTATGGTTTTCGTGAATCAATGATACAGAGCAAACAGCAGCAGAAGTGAGACAGATGAGGAGGCAAATCATGAAAAACCCAGAATATAAACTAGCTTTTCCTAACCAAGGAACTTGCATAGCCATACCTTGTATCGCTTCTCAGCTTTTGTCTAAGAGCAAGTATAATCTTTGACTTAAAACCATTTGTTTAGCAACCTTTCAAAGTTGCAAAAAATGACTTACAACTATCCCAGCATCCCCATGGTCATGTAATAACAATTTGGATGCTTGGTAATCGGCATATATTTATGATGGTTGCATCATTCTGGGGTCATGTGATCACCATTTGTGGACTTCTCAGCCATCTTCTGACAAATAAAGTCAATGGGAGAAGCTGGATTGCCTTAATGATGGGCTGATTCACTTAACAATCATGGCCAAAAAAAAGGTGGTAAAATTGGGTGCAACTCACTTAACAACCACCTTGCTTAACAACAGACATTCTGGTCTTAATTGTGGTCCTAAGTAGAAGCAAGTGTAGTGTGGGTGTATAACTACTTCCATCCTCATCCTCTGTAAACATAGCCTCCTAGCAAGGGATGATGGGAGCTATAGTCCCACAGCTGGAGAGACTCAGTTTGAGGACAGGATGACTTAATAGGACTTTTGAATTCCAGAAAAGAAGCAACTCTCAACTCTGAAAGTATACATGGTTTGTTCCTTTAAAAAAGTGTCAGAGATTTTTTTTAAAAATGTGAATAATTAAAGAACCAACCATGATAAATAAGGCTTTACAGGAGACTTTCCAGTAGCACAAGTTTACTTCAACTGTTAGGTCTTTCAGTTGTTTGCTGATGGTTAGTACCGGTTCAGGATATACCCTGCTATTTCTCTTCTGTTCATAATCTAAAAATAACATTAAGAATAATGGAAAAATCTAGTTTCTCAAAAAGTCATTTTTATGAGGCCATGGAGGGGGAGGCTTAAGTTGTCTATTTTCTTTATATAAAAGCTTGCATGCTCTTTGTCTCAAGAACCCTGTGTAAATAGCAATAAAGTCATGCTCCAGTTATAGCAGTAAGTATAACTCAATAGCATTTGTTTTCAAGAAACACATGTGAAATAATGAAGGTTACCTGTAAGCATGGAGGTCAGAGGAGTAATAAAAACAATATGATATAAAAACTGCTTGTGAAAGAACAAAGGCTTGAAGAGACAATCAGTGTTAAGGTCAGAGGAATATCAAATCTTGATGAGTTTATAAAACTAAATGAGCTCATACGCTCTGCTGCATAGTTACCAATCAAAACTTTAAAATTGCCATCTGTTCTCAATCTCTCTCTCTTTTTGTTCCCATTTAGGATTTAGTGTCTCGAAAGAAAAATAGTAAGGATTGCACCATGGCTCCGAGAAAAAGAAGTGGGCGAGGGATTTCTTTTATCTTCTGCTGCTTCCGAAGTAATGATCATCCAGAAATCACGTATCGGCTGCGGAATGACAGCAATTTCGCCCTGCAAACCATGGAGCCTGCATTACCCATGCCTCCGGTGGAGGAGCTGGATATTATGTTTAGTGAGCTTGTGGTGAGTGACGGGATCATATTTAAGTTGGTGGATTTCAGAACTCAAAAATTGTCTCTAGCCGGGAGGAGTGGTCTTAAAATGTTAAGGAAAAGGTAGTGATGGTCCATCAAGAGTGCCTCAACTCATTCAAAGAAATGAAAATTTATCAGATGACCCGAGTTGTTGTTTTTTAAATATTGATTGTGATAAACATAGCAAATGATTGTGATAAACATAGCAAACTTTGTAACCTAGTGTGTGGTAATTTAGAAATATTGTGCTCTGGGTTAGGAAGAGATGCATCAGTATTTGGTTGATAAGTAATGATACTCTGTATTTTCCAGAAAATAAAACAAGTCATGCATTTTTCTATAAAAAGTACAGTTGTTGCATGATCCTGACTGGGTTCACACATTGAGTTAGAATGCAATCCTTTAAAATGTGATTCGTTCACTAGGACATAATTGGCTGAGTCAGTATATAAAAATAGGGCATAAACCACTATATAAATCACATTGAGAAGATTTACACAACTAACCAAATCAGAAGCAAACAAAACACATTTTTGGTAGAGATTTCCATGGAAGATAATAATCAGACATGATTTCACAGTGGTAGTTTTTGGCTGATGTTTGAAACTGGTGGAGCAGTTAGACTGGATCCATACAGCAAGCTGAGGTTAGCTTTTGCTTGGCATATTGTATAAATTCAGCCGTTGTGACTTCTGAATCATGGTTTAGGGCAGTGATGGTAAACTCATGACACAAGTGTCAAAAGTGGCATGCCACAACATTTTGAGTAACATGCTAGTATATATCAGGCAAGAACTATTCTTGAAAACGTGCCTTGTTCTTGCACAATTTGGGGGGACAGCAAAGGCCACATGAGAATGGGATATAGCAATAGCACTTAGACTTTACAGTGCTTTATAGCCGTTTTTAAGAGGTTTTACAGAGTCAGCATATTGCCCCCAACAATTTGGGTTCTCATTTTATCCACCTTGGATAGGATGGAAGGCTGAGTCAACCTTGAGCCTGGTGGGATTTGAACTGCCAAATTGTAGGCAGTTGGCTGCAGAGGTAGCTTGTAGTACTGCGTTCTAACCACTGCACCACAGAGGCTCTTGTGTAGTCTCCAAAAATCGCACAAGAACAGGCTGTGCTTTCACCTGGTTTTCAAAAGCTGCAGAAGACGAAGAAGGTTTTCTGAAGCCACCTCAAGAACAAAGGCCTCCTACAATGAGGAGCAGCCTCAGATAGGCTGCAGGGGCCTGTCAGCAGAAAGAGAATACTGCCTCTTTCTAAGCTGTATATGGCAGAAGTTCAGATGTTTTTTAAAAAAATAATATGTAAAGAACTGTTTCTCTTATGTTTGGGGGAGGGGGCTGACACACCAGCAGAATTAAGGTAGGCATTTTCCAAATTTTTGACACACCGAATCCAAAAGGATCGCCATCATTGGTTTAAAGCTTTGTGTCATAGGAAACTAGCCAATTGTGTTCTGTTCAAGAAATCGCAATTATATAATGGAAACAATGGTTTAATATGACAGGTGAAACAAACCTGTTCGGATAGCAGGTATAAGCCTAATAACCACAATGCAGCAGTCTCTGTACCAGAGAGAGAGATTACATTCAATGCATTTAAAACCATTCTATTAAAGAAAAATCTAGGAGTTTTGCAAATGCTGTTATGCCAGTCTCCATACCAAAATGTGAGATTGTGCCAGTCCATTTCCAAATTAACTACCTGTTTGCAACCTCTTTAGAATGGTCTTTCTTCCCCTCTCCCTTCCTTTCTCTTGTTTTGGTTCAGTGAAGGCTAACTTCATTTTTTAAGCAAGTTGTTGGCATTATCGTGTGATACCTATCTTTTCTTTTCTCTTTTCTCTGTATGGCTCAGTTGAGTGTTGCATGTCAACATTAGTTAAATGGCTTGGAAACTCCCATAGCCCCCTTATAAGCTTACTGGATAACAGAAAACTACCCACTATTAAAAAGGAGCAAAATATATCTTGGCAGCATTGCTATACCCACTGGAGTTCTTCAATTCCTTGGTCTCTCTGGCAGGGCAGGCAGGTTTATTTTGCTTATATAGGAATATATTTAATTGCCTTGGCTCAGACAGAAAAGATGACTTGAACATATTTAGAAACACTGAAAACCTCTTTGACAGACACTCTTAGTCAAACAAATTAACTTCAGTAACATTGGAAAATTGATAATATTAGGATAAGATAACTTTTGATATAGGGATTTAATATTTCCACCAGAGAGAACATTTAAAATTTTTACTGGACTTCTTTTTAAATAGTTCTAGTTAGTTTGGACTTTGTGTTAAGCATGTTGAGATTTTGAGAATAGGAAAAAAAGGAAAGCAAAGATAGCTTTAGAGAAAAAAAAATCCTCTGCATTTGGACTCAGTTGAAAGAACTACTCACTAGTAATAAAAAAAAAAATGCTAGCCACTTCAGGAAAGAAGCTTGAGTATACTGCACAGTGAAAGCATGTTTGACAAGTTTGAATTATGAATTTCCCTTCCCCAACAACATTCAAATGTATCTAGAAGTGGTTCTCATTTAGCAACTGCCTTGTTTAGCAATAGTTCATAGTTATGATGGTGATGAAAATGTAACTTTATGACCAATTCTCACATTTATGATCTTCTGAAAAGCAAAACCTGAAGTAAGATTTTAAGCACAGTCATTGAGATCACTGCTTTGTTTTATGACCAAATTGCCAATCTCGGTTTAGTGACTAAAAAAAGACTGCCTGTATTTTCACACCAAGACTTGATAGCTTTGTCATTTAGTAAGGGAATACAATAAGGGTATACGGACAGAAAGATTATTACTGTACAAATATTATTAAGATTATGCTGAAGTTTTAATTAAATCAAGATACTTAAGATAGGAGCTGACAACCTAACACACTGAGCAGGAATTTTATAACCATTCAGAAAAAAAAGTACAGTAAGGAAACAGGAATGAAAATAAAGAACAAAAATAAGAATAAAATTTCACCTGATTATCACAATTATCAGCATTTCATCTCCTGCTGAATTCTCGTGTGTATTGTGTAACACAGAGATCCTGTATTAGCATGTTTTAGGAAACCATGAGTTTTAAACAGATAGACAAAAACCTTAACTTGGGGACTTGTAATTCTTCCAAAACAGCCAAATGAAAACAGAATATGTTAATACAGGATAACTACTATACAGTATGTGTGAGGCAAAGAGGGAGAGAAAACTAGGCTGGGAGATTGAATGAAATGCCTGAACATCTGAATAGGATCATCCCACATTACGGTATTTTCTTTTTTATCCTATCTCTGTTTATATAAGTTTATATTTTGCCGGTTTCCCTGAAACACAAGTGGGCATTTTTACGTATTCAGGCAACATAATGGTCCTGGATGAGTCCTATCAACCTCACTTTTCCTGCCCTTTAATCCTCCCAGGCTGCCATGGCTGCCAAAAACTACATTAGGGAGGGAACAGGGAGGATGTGTCTTGCATGACTTTTTATATAGCGTATCTGTTGGTGGGCTATTATGCCACTGAATGAGGATGATAAGTGTAGTATTCATTTCTGTTATTATTAAAAGTGGTCTCATATATAAGCTCATACTGAAGCTTTTTTCTCCTGAAAACTCAATTGCTTATAATATTGAAGTGATACACTTGAAACATACAAATCCTTGGGCTACCTTCCCAAGTATACTACATTTGACGAAGAATCAATTCATATTTGACCAAACTCAAGAATACTTCCCAACCAAGTATAATTCAAAAAACCTGAATATCAGAAAAAGGTTTGCAATTGGAATGGTGAAATTGCGATCAGAGCACAAAAATGCATTCCATGCAATAAGTTTGAAACAGCCTAATTCTTCATGTATGGTTAGAAATTTGGAAAGAGTAGTCATAGCTTATTACATCAAGCTTTCCCTGTTGTCTTGTATTTTTTAGAAGCGGGGAAAAAAAATGCCTAGTCACCAAAGCCCCAGGCTCATCTTGGCAGCATCTACACCAGGGGTGTAAAACTCACGTCATCACGTGATGTATCACGACTTTTTCCCCCTTTGCTAAATTGGGGGTAGGCGTGGCCAGCACATGACACATCCAGCCTATGGGCCGTGAGTTTGAAACCCCTGATTTACACTAACTTTGCATAGGTTCTGGAGATGAGCCCATTAGGGAACCCCCCCCCTCCTTATCAGTCTCTGTGTCTCCAGAATTATTCAAGTGCATTCAGATGAGAGGAACAATCGCTGCATCTGCAGCTACAGCATCTCATGACTGAGGAGTAGGAGAAAGGCACTGCAGGTGTGAGGTGGCTGACCAAAGCATGGGAATGATCTGTTCTTGGCCAACAGTAGCTCTTCTGGGAGTTCCCTGCCTCAGCTTGGCCACCCACTAATGAGCACTGCTGCTGGCCCAGCAGAACTTGCTCCCCCACTCTAGCAGGTCCAGTGAAAGTACAGACTGAGCCAAGCGCAAGAATATTCTTGGCTTGATCTGTGATGGTCTTCCCTGAGAAGTTGGACTGGGAAAAACTAGAGAGTGCTTCCTGCTCACTGTGGTGGGACTGCTTTGTTTGGCTAGCAATAACACCTGTTGGGGTTGGCTGGTTAAATAGGAAATGTTCCACAGCTACCTTCAGTCAGAAGTACTATCGGTAGGCAAATGGGGATCGTTCTTTCATTTTGGATAGCAAGCCTGGATGAAAGATCACCTGGGAAGATAGAGCAGAAGTTCCTTGACCAATAACTCTTTATCCTTGGCAGGGTGTCTTGGGACCGTTTTGTCTGAATGGCCCCTTTTCTGTGCAAGCCAAAGTTTCTGTTCTTTGTTCTTATCACTTTTGGTTAAAATGGAGAGAGAGAGAGAGAGAGAGAGAGATGCACATGCATGTATTAATTTCATGAGCTAAATTACTATTCTGAATATGTTACTGATACATTTGTGAAAGTAAATGCCATTGATCACAACGGGACATAAATTTGAGGAAAGGTTCTT